GCACCAGTGCGACAGTTCCTATTATTAGAGAGAGCATAGGAGCCGTAGTTGTCAGTCAGGTGCAGTTAAAAACCGACCGGTCAAACTGTAAAAAGCTTAAGACGCCGGCCATTTGGGTGAAATGCAAGAGATCTCCAAAAGGGTAGGTTTGGCAAAAAACAGTACGAGTCCGACTAAAATCTTTCAGATGCAGGCGCCAAAGGACCTGTTTATAAGGAAGTGCAATGCATGATTACTTTGCATTTTTGGTAAATACGCTCATTGGTGAGGTTCGGTGCTATTTGTCTGATTTCCCACTATTACAGAAACTTCTGTAATCTGTAACTTCTGTAATATTCTTGTAAATCCTTTGAAGAATATTGAGGTAAGTATTTTCATTAGTTTTGGGTTTTTGGATTATTTTGTTGCTCCTTTCTGGTTTCCTCTTTTCCGTTTTATCCTGTGCCAATCCCAGTGTTTTATCGTGTGTCTCTTTTGTTTCTCTTGTCCCTTATCTCTTTGTAAATTCTGCTCTAAATCCGGTCAAGTAAAATTTCTCTCTTTAATACAATCTTATTGAAGCAAGAGCTTCCAGCATTAAAATGTTGCACAAAGGGGTCCTTCAGGTCAAGTAAATAGGAAAGAAAATATCTTTAGCCGCAATATTTTATTTGGTGCCCAGGGTAAGGAAGTCAGCTCTATTCAGTTTAGAAAAGAGAGAAAATGCTGCAAACCACAGAAGCAGTTTTGAATAGGTTCGCGAGAAGGCCAGGGGACGATTTAGAAGAGGTACAAAAATTGTTCAAAGAAGAAACGGATTTAGAGACCTTGAAAAACACGCTTAAATGGATCCAGAGCAGCTGTAAAAGAAAAGAGTTTAAGCACGCAAAGTATACGAAGTTTTTAAAAGAATGCTCAGAACAAGAGAAGTCAAGTGAAGGTAAAATATATGAGGATTATGAGAGGCAACCAGGTAGTTTTTCTGAGAAGCTAGTCGAGGCGCAGGACGTTACTGATACTTTAGAAAGAGAAATCGCCAAGTATGACAAGGATAGGAGAAAAGAAAAAAAGGAGCTTAGCGCAAACCCAGTCCAGTTCACTAAGTTGTCCAAACTAAGGTTACCCAGGTTTTCGGGGGACCCTAAAAAGTGGTTGAGTTGTCGCGATGATTTCAGTGCTTCTATCGATGTGCAAAATATCGCTCCGGTTCCGAAGTTTACTTATTTTAAGAGCTGCTTAGGAAGAAAGGCAATAGACGTCATAGACGGTATACAGATGATAAACGAAAATTATGAAGTTGCAGGAAATAAGCTGAGAGCACGTTTCGGAGACGAACTCTTGATTGTGAGGTCGCTATACCGCCAAATCCATGAGTTACCAAGATGTCCTAACTACGCGGAAGACTTACGAACGTTTTGCAATAAATTAGATAAATTTCTAAATTAAATGAGAAATATTGTTCGGAATATTAACCAAGAGGGCAATAAATTGTTCATCGAGAAAAAGCCGCCCTCCACTGCTCTAATTGAGTTAAGTAAGACGGAAATCGAGAGAGTACACAGTGAAAGAATCCTAGTGACGGGGTTAGAGATAGTGCATAATTTGATGCGGGACCTAAACAAATATTTTCGGCTGGGAGAGGGGCTGCCCGAATTTCAAAGGAAGCAGGAATTTAGCAGAGGAAAGATGAGCGGAAAAGGGAAATTTGAAAATGCAAAGCAAAGAAGCTTTGTTGCAGCACTGGCGCCAACCGAACGGATAAAGAAAAGGGCATGTGGTTTTTGTAACAACAGTCATTTAAGCGAAGAATGTACTCATTATAATTCAATTGATGAAAGGAGTCGAAGAGCTAAAAAATTAAATCTATATTTTCGATATTTGAAAAAGGTACATAATAGACAGATTTGTAAGTACGATAGGGAATGCTACCACTACAGCTTAACAAATGGCTGAACCATCGGTAAATGCGTGCAGCTGTATTTTTTTACATCTGAACTAAGTGCGAACCGCGACAGCTCACTTGCGTTGGCGTCTTTCCAAGTGTTGGCAAAGTCCTCTCACTCACGTCTTAATGATTCAGGCACCTGCTACGACCATCATCTGGGAACAGTAATGAAGACATCAGAATTTGTTTTACCAGTTACAGCCACAGGATTATGTATCGAAGAAGTAGGTCAGGAAATTCAAGCGAAAATCGGATATCTAGAAGCTTTAGAAATTCAAACTGATATCCAAAATCTGTGGCTAGTTATGACGCAGGATTTATCCAAATGCGAGGTCGATTTCTCTTTCTGGAAGAGTGTTATAACTGTTTAGCCGGAGCGGAACTTACCTACCAGTGTACTAAAGATTTTGGAAGCGTGTTAGCACATGTAAAGTGTCAAAGTGTTCAGTTTAGGATAAATTGTGAGAAGTCTCCTGCTCAGAGAAAAGTTATATTGGCGTTTAAGCAATCAGTAATAAAGGAAAGCTGTCTTTTGGAGTGTTTATCGACGGTAACGCAAGTTGAACTTAGAGGCCAGTTAAGTTTTGTAGAGGTTCCTACTCCGGTCCACATTTCTAACATTATCAATAAAGCTGAAGAGAGTAAAGTTTGGACGATTGTACATGTACCATTCGCTTTGTTCTAAGACTGGAAAATAATAACGATTGGTAGCATGGTAATCGTGGTAATCATGATCACGATAATAACAAAGCGTATATTTAATTGGTATGTTGAGGTTGCTCTAGAGGAAACAGTAAGTCGTAAACTGCGATGACCAGACGGTAATCTTTTCTTACTTCCCAACTATCTTCTATACCTCTGTTTTCCCTTTTCCTTTTTCCTTATCTTCATAGGCTCTAGAAACCAGTCACACGAGCCTTTTAAATTTATCAGACATCGACTGTTTCAAACTTAGCGTACCAAACCCATTTTAATCTGTCTTACTTGTTTTTATGTTTTTAGATTTAGTCACTTTGTTTGAAAGGTGAATAGGCAGGCGAGTGTGCATGATATCGTCTTGCAGAGAAGTATGCTTTATAAAAGTAACTCGAAGCGATGGTCGTCGAAGCACAAGGAAAGGCGGGCGGAAATGAAAGCGGAGATGGAGTGGACAGAACCGAAAGAGCCACACCCTCCTGCTCGTTACTTGTTGCTCCAAGTATTAACCCCTTGTTACGTGTTTATACTAGATCTAACTCACGAAGGTACACGACACAGAGAGCAGGACGTGCCGATGATAGTGGAAATTTTCCGGAAGAAAGATGAGCGCTACCATCCTTTTGATACCTTTGATGTGCAAGAGATAGTGACCCTGAAGGTCAACAGGGAAATAAGAGAATGACAAATGCTGGAGGGGAAACGGATCAAGGATTATATCGTCAGCGTAATGATCAGGCCGACATGTCTAACGACTAAGTACCAGCCCGTAACAGTGCAAGGGACGACAACCATCCCGGCGTTTGTTCAAGCGTCATGGTCTATACGCCAACCGAAAGTCGGAGTGATAGCCGGAGGTGTACAGGGACCGGCGTGGATTTGGGGGGACGACGTTAGGGTAGAACCAGTACCCCAGGAGGGAGACGTGGTCGGACTGGAATTTTCAGAGTGATTAGTTGAAGAAGTAAAGTTCGAAGTTTGTTACAATAAGGGGTGGACACGCTACTACCTAACCTAGGATTACGCGTAGCGGGAGGCGGGGGCTAGGAAGATTGAGTTGGGACGTAAATACCCTTCAAGGATAGTTAAGTATGAGGGACTTATAATTGCTCAGGACGACCATCTAGGCGGATTTAGGGACATAGAGGGCGCCCAGAAGCATGAAATTATGGAGCAACTCCTCCATACCTCAGTTTTATTTATAAAAAACAGGTTAGTTTTAGGTTACGAATTTACAGAGCGAATGTTAAAAGAGAAAAGGTTGAGCGGGAGCCTAGCGGACGAGGGGTGCTTCAGACGCCGAAGGGCTTTGAGACTTTTGTACCATTTGGAAAATGAAAACGAGAAGGACTGAGGGGGAATCAGGAATTTTTACCACTAGAATTGGGTTCGAATATTAACATTCAGGAAGCTGATGTCTTGGAACGTTTCAAGAACCAGAACAATCAGATGATCTTTGTCTCAGGGCCCAGCAAGAAATGGAAAAACTTGCATCATCGCCGCAAACCTTTTAGCACTTTTGAAGCACTTCACATTCAGCAACCACATTGCAGTGGGCCTCGTCAAAGCACCCACCAATTTGGCTGTCTAGAATATCGCTAGGCAGCTTTGTGTAGTCAATAAGAAAGAGATTTAACTGGGAAAAGTTTTATTGTTACAATCCCCACTAGCAATCGGAATCTCAAAGTTGGTCTTCGGCAAACACGCAGTGATCTCGGTGTTCTTGAGACAGTGGGAACGCAATCACAATATAGATCGACTCCAATATTCAATAGTGGATGAGGGAGGGGACTCATTTTGGAGGTCAATTTGATGGTCCTGATAACTTGCATGCCTGAAATCAAGCAGATTTTCATGGCGGGTGACAGATGTCAGCTCCCAGCGTACACCGGGCGACTGCCTACCTTATGGTCATCTCGGCATAATTTACCAATTGGCACACATTACAAAAGGCCAGCAGGTAACGTTGCCGGTAAATTACCGGAGCCACCCAAAACTGGTCGAGGTCTTGTCAGCAGCCGGTTACGGAGGAAGTGTTGTACACCAGCCCGACCGGCCAGGATTCGACCAATGCACAAATCTAAACTTTCCAGATTAGTACCAGAAGGTACCTCTTTTGTTTTTACAGATTACCGGGACCGATACTGCTCAACATCGCTTGTCTAAAAAAGATCTGTTCTTTGCTCTCTTAGCTAATGTTAGTGTGATATGCACTATTTTAAAGAGGCACTGTTTTTGTTTGTATCGATCGACGCTGATCTTAGGACATTGGCAGTAGGACGCCGATCGCTATTGTATTGTTCCTAACTTTGCTTGTTTTTGCTGTTAGTTGAATAAATTGGTTAGCTACTGTGTGCTAGTTGTGAGCTTCCATTGGTAATTATTGCTCCTCGACTCTACGCTCAAAAGTAATAACCTACGAAAAAAAAGGAATTTTTTCATGATAATTCTTATAACGGTGTTCGACGAACTTTCACACAGAACACACGGAGCCTCTGCCAGCAAGAAAGTGGCGACGGGTGGAACCTTGTTACTTTAAAAAGATAGCCTGCTTACTAAAAATCCTGGATAGTGATATTTTGTTGATTTTTCATGTAGAATGTGTGGTCGTATTAACTTTTCAACACTTCCTCAGTGTTTAAAGTTATTCAGACGGAAAATCGGATGCGTGAGAATAGAGCTAGACACACATCAACGCAAATCACATCAAATAGTTTTGCAGAAGAAATGAGACAAGAAACCAAACAGTAAAGTTAATTTACTGTACGTAATATCAACTTACGTTATTGGTCTTCCACTGCTGCTGCAGCATCTGCTATTTCCAACAAAAAAGTTGAGTACTTTTGAACGGAGCATAAGCGCCTGCGTTCTTTTACTTTCTCTTTACTTTGTGAATTTGTATAATTCTCTGACATGAGTAATCTTTGATGATTTTCTCATTCTGGATATTTAAAGGTCGTAAATTTAAAGAAATTTTGTGAAAAATTGAAAGTTTTCTCCAAGTAATCTGTAAAGATTGATTATTTGTTAAAGTCAAGCAAACAACTTTTTTCTGCTGCTTTATTACACACGGATTTTTGAAACCTTTGTATTGAGTGTCTCTTCCTTACCTGCTCTGTTCCGTTTTATAAGACTAGTGCTTACAAAGACAATTAAATAATACATTTTTTGTTGCGCTCAACAACTGTTAAAGTGTACAGAAATAGTTGGCCTGTCGATAAGTTTTAAAGCTTTATCTGGTCACATTTGATCCACCAAGTAAACAATTTACTTAATAGTAGTGTAGTAGTTACTTTATGTGAATGAGTAAAAGAGAACATGTGTTCAAGTAAATGCTACAAAGCACAAATTAAGGTCAAAAATAACAAGCTTATCTTGTACCTTCTACTGTTAAATTCCTAACCTAGAGAGAAGTAGCTCTTGAAAAAATTTTCAGTCTAATAATAAAATTTTTTTTAAAACTTTCCTGATCCAAAACAGATTATTTTCGTCTTTTGTCTAAAACTAACGTGTGGCTTAAAACTCTAGAAATGTTTTGGTAAATGGT